TTGGAGGCCAAGTGTAGATGCAAGAGCTCTTCATCCAAATGCACCAGGACGCTTGAGTTCAGCCCGCGTGCATCTGGGGCGCTTCCTAAGTGATGTGAGGCACAACGTGCTCAAATCCACCAAGCACCCCGCCCCCCCCCCAGCCATTAAAATGCTGATAAATAATTCTACCACGAAGGCCCCAGGGCTAACGTAAAAAGCAGAAAGCCACGGGGTCAAGTGTTTCCACAGGAATTACATTTGGTAAACAGAAGCTACGACAGGATGTTTTTATGAATCACCTGCAATTATTGTATGGCCACGGCGTTCTCTCGAACAATCCGAATAATCACTTCTTGTGTGCCTAAGAGAGTTAGGATGGATTTAAACATGTCATCTTAGTAGTTAAAAAAAAAAAGTGAGTCATCTTTCTTTCCACTGGTGAGGAAAACAGGAAAAGCAGTCTTTTTCTGACAGTAGATAAGGAAGATGATCTTTCTTTCATTAGCGGTAAGTGATTCCTTAGATCCACAGAATTGTCAATATCAGCAACAGAGAGAGAGTTAGAAGTACTGTCGTCTGTACTCTCCTGGAGAAAATGTGGTAACTAATAACGTAATTTTGTAGATTTTTATTCTCATTAAATGGTATTCTAACTGTAAGGATTTTTGACTTTGCTTCTCAACAAAACTGCACAAAACTTTCTGTTACCTAAAATGTAAAGGGGACGTTTATACTGAAACTGGCTATTTTGAAAACAATTATCTTACTATTCCTTGATCAAATACATTCAATGTCACTTTCTCCATCACCAGAAACAATATAGAGAAAGCCATGGCGGCCGCTTGGCGAGTGGCACTGAGGCTGGAAATCAACGTGTTTTTTCACGGTCTTGAAACACAGTGGAGTTGGAGTTTATTCACTTTCTGTACATCAGTTGTTAGGTGAAAATACAGACTCAAAACTATGCTTTGAAGCCCCCTGCAATGACCCACAAAGTGCATGCAAGCTTAGACACGTACAGTTCTGGGGAATAATGACCACGTCCGCTCAAGTTTGAGAATCCCTGAGTTAAATCGAAAGAGAGAACGAATGGGGCGCCAGGGGGGCTCAGTCGGTTAAGCGTCTGACTTCCGCTCAGGTCATGATCTCACGGTTCGTGGGTTCGAGCCCCGTGTCAGGCTCTGTGCTGACAGCTAGCTCAGAGCCTGGAGCCTCCTTCAGATTGTGTGTCTCCCTCTCTCTGACCCTCCCCTGCTCACGCTGTCTCTCTCTCTCTGAAAAAAAAAAAAAAAAAAGAACGGAGAGGCCGAGATTTGGTCTCCCTAGAGTGGTGGGTCCTTCTCGTGGACAAGAGATTTCCAAGAAGGTTACCTGCAGCTGTTAGGAACTCGGGGCAGGGAGGCAAATGGGCTAGGCCAAATTTTGGTTCTGCCACTTATTAGTAACACTTGGATCCCCAGTTTTCTCACCTGTGTTTTGGGCGCATTGAACAGCATCCTAGCTCATGGTGCTGTATGGAGAATTAAACATTAATACTGCCTGCAGTGCTTACCATTACGGCGGGACTGTGATTTCCCCAGGAAATGCAGAGTGAAATTTACAGGTCAACCTCACTGACTACGGGGAACTCGAGAAGCTTTCCTTGTTCTTAACACGTATCACATATTCTTTTTTCTGTAACCTTGACTTTCTTTACGCATTTCTCTGTTTTATTAAACTACAGTCTGTGGTACTTCTAGTCCTTTCTGGAATACAGAATAAACAAGCAAAAAAGCACTACCTTTGGGGCACGTGGGTGGTTCAGTTGGCTGGGTGTGTGTCTGACTCTTGATTTCGGCTCAGGTCACGACCTCGCAGTTTGTGGGTTTAAGCCCCATGCTGGGCTCTATGCTGACAGTGTGGAGCCTGTTTGGGATTCTGTCTCCCTCTCTCTCTCTCTCTCTCAAAATAAATAAACATTAAAAAAAAAAAAGCACCATCATCTGTGTCAGTTCTAAAAGGCGTTTAGTGCCCACCCACCTGTCACGTTTTTCTGGAAGAGAAAACAAAAAGTTCAGAGAACGGCCGTAATGCATGTACACAAATGCACTGATGGGTCTGCAGTTTTTTCCCAGGTTCTCAAAAACAAAAAAAAAAGAACAACTTTTTTCCAGGCAAAAGACAACATTTCCAGGCAAATGTTTCCTTCCTTAACTATATTCCTTTAACTTCTTAGAATATAATTTATTCACTTCAGTAAACATTTTCAAACCAAACTGCAATCACTTAAAAAAATTAATGCTATGTATAGGGCGCCTGGGTGGCTCAGTCAGTTAAGCGTCCAACTTAGGCTCAGGCCATGATCTTGTGGTTTGAGAGTTTGAGCCCCGCGTCAGGCTCTGTGCTGAGAGCTCGGAGCCTAGAGCTGCTTTGGATTCTGTATCTCCCTCTTTTCTCTGCCCCTCCCCTGCTCATGCTCTGTCTCTGTCTCTCAAAAACTGAGTAAAACATTAAAAAAAAATTAATGCCATATATCCCCGCCCCAACCCAGTAAATGCTCATGATATGTCTTTAGTATGGACAGAAGCCAAGCTAGGGACAAAGGTGGAAAGAGCTGTCATCAGCAAAGATGTCCAAGGATTTCCTTCCCGGACTTAGACGCTTACTGCTGCCCGTCCATAATGACGGGAACTTGCACTTCACACACCAAACTGCAGAGCCTGATGCTGGACAGATTCAATGAGGCAGATCGGTCCAGATGAAATGGTGCAGTAAATTCCAAATCAAGAATTTCAAAATAAACCAGCTGGGCTTTGCACCTCAATGCCCGACAGCCACTGTGGACATCAGAATGGCCAAAGCCGAGGAATAAATGTTACAGGATGGTCTGTACGACTTCCCACTATTCCCCACAGCCACCACTTATAAAACATCCGTGTCGTAGACTATAATTTACTAAGTTATAATAAAGACTAACTGGCAAGATATAAAGTCTGCAGTTTTAAACCGTGACTCTCAGTGCAAGATTTCTGCCACAGACTCGGAACAGCTCCTACACTGTACCAATGAGATAAAATACATCCTAGCTCGGAATGTTAAGTTTGAGTCTCTGTGTCCAGCCCTGCAAGTTGCCCTCTCAGAGGCCGCGTTAGTTAGCAATTCAGGTTTATTATCATTAAGGAGAGTCTGCCTGGCTCATCTTGTAAAACAAAAGAGGAAGTTACAAGTTTAACAAGACTAATAACTAGACAGCCTGTCTCCTTAAAGGAGGCCAGCCACCGGCCCCCACTCGGGACGGACGGAAACACCTGCCATTCCCGCGTGCAGGAAATGACCGCTCTGGGCAAAGTAAGAGGAGACCCCAGTGGAGTGGCAGGCCTTGATCTGGTCACCGTTAGACGCCTAGTGGCTCCTCACTGGGGCTGTCCTGTATTTGCCTTGGTTACAGAGGGTATGATTTCATTGACGAAAGGAGGAAGCGCTTACATGTGATCTGGCCAGCAGCACAAGCAGCTTCTAGTTGTTGAAATGGGTTACAGAGCCTGCACGTGCTCTTCTAAAACAACGTCACCCAGGGACACCTGGGGGCTCATTCGGTTAAGCGTCCAACTCGATTTCAGCTCAGATCATGATCTCACGGTTCATGAGCTTGAGCCCCACATTGGGCTCTGAGCTGACAGCATGGAGCCTGCCTGGGATTCTCTTTCTCCCTCTGCCACTCCCCCACTCATGCTTGCACATGTGCACAGAAACACACACACACACACACACACACACACACACACACACACAAACACTCTCTCTCTCTCTCCGCCCCCCCCTTAAAATTAAAAAAAAAAATTAAAGCCTATAAAACAACTTCACTCATAAAAGTACTTCTGGGGCCCCTGGGTGGCTCAGTCAGTTAAAAGCACCAACTTCAGCTCAGGTCATAATCTCATGGCTTGTGAGTTCGAATCGTGTGTCGGGCTCTGTGCTGTCAGCACAGAGCCTGGAGCCCACCTCAGATTCAGTGTCTCCCTCTCTCTCTGACCCTCCCCTGCTCATGCTCTGTCTCTCTCAAAAATAAGCAAACAAACATTAATAATAATGATAATAAAAGTACGTCTGACACTTTTTAAATAAAAACATGGCAGACGGCTTTCTTCATATTTCAAAAAAATGAAATCAAATATCAGTAGATATGAGATTTCTGTCCTTTTCATGGCTCCCTGCAATATAATGGTATTTTAAATTCACTTAAGAGCTGAATGGGTACAAATAGCTAATATTAAAAATCATTTTTACATAGACTTCTGACTGCACCTGCATTTGTTTCCTTTACTGTTTTCCTGAAGGATGTGTGATGGGTTTGATCCTCAAGTGTTACCCAACGCATTTTAGGCTCCATGAGGGCGATGTGAGGGCAGGATTCACTGATTTAGAATAGTCAGTATCAACCATTTGCCTCTTTTTATTCTTCTTGGCTGATAATATCCACTGGATTAAAAAAAATATTTTAAAATGCCAGTTTCAAGAACTCCAGGAAGTTAAAAATGTTTAATTATTAACCATTAGTGATATTAAAATATTTATATGCCTTTTAGTTCTACTTAATTGAATTTGGTAGAGAGAGTAATGGAAGCAGTCCTTCACTCGGCAGATAACAGCATTATCAGTTTGCCTGAAAAAGGAAGGCTTCGGACAGATCTTCCTTCAGAGACCCTGTATGCATCTGTCTGAAATCACTATGCTAATGGAACGTTTTTATCCTCAGCCACAATGAGAGAAATAAGTCCGCGTTTCGCGGACTCCCAGAAAGATATCCGTGGCGTGAGTCTCCCCGACAGCGGCACTGCGAATCTTAGATCAGTTTTAGGTGCCCTGCGGTACACTTCTGGCAGAGTGGAAAAGTACTGTGCGTCCACACTGGTATGTCCCTCTGTGGGTGTGCTATCTGCCCTTCACAACTCAAGGCACAAGACTGGGGGAAACGACTGGGAATGAACCAGCAAATGAATGTTCTAGACGGAGCAAGAGTCTCGTACTCGTGAGTTTACCTGATCTGTCCACGAACCAGAGGTCTGTTCTTTGTCCTATTCATGTTTGAATCAAACGGCACCTCAAAAAACTGCAAAAAAGAGTGAAAAGAAAGACAGAAGGCATTAAGTATACCGTGAAGCAATTCTTCTCTTCCGTAATTTTGTCTGCAGCAAATTTCATTTTAATTTTGACAGCACGGACCCATACGCTAGGTCCTCGCTGGAGGAAAATTCTCTGGGAGAGACATATTGTAAAATGGCTTGAATTCGTTGTCCAGGACATGCACGGGCCCCGTGCTCATCCACCCTGAAAACCACCTGCTACATATACAGCTGCTTCCCCAGAGCCCCTGGCGCACATGTAAAGTGTTCGTGCTCTGATGGATTTCAGAACCCTGCACACATCCCAAAGCCTGTGAATCGACCAGGAATAAGTGAAACCTGGGAAATGGGTGACTGAAGTCCAGAACAACCAGCCAGGCGACCCTGTGACCAGGGTCACCGCGCCCCCACCCCCCGCCTGAGCTGTGCTCCCAGCATCACGCGCAGTGACCCCTTTCACTCTCAAGGTACCCGAGTGTGGACAATACACTGCTACGGTCCCCCTAACGAAGAGGTACAAGAAATTCATACTTTAGTGTAGGGGACAGCAAGCTCGTAGCTCATGGGCCACATCCAACCCGCACCTGCTTCTCAATGGCTAACGAGATACTAATATGTGGGGTGTTTTGTTTTTTTTTTACATTTTTTTTAATGATTAGAAAAATACATCCAAAGAAGGAGAATACTTCGTGACATGTGAAGATTACATGAAAGTCAGAGCTCAGGGTCCACAAATGGAGTTGTACTGGGACTCGGCCATGCTGATTTGTCTATGCCTTGCTCTGGCTGCGTTCACACCACAGGGGCCGGGTCGGGAAACTGCAACACAGATGGTATGGCCCAGCAAACCTAAAATATTTACCATCTGGCCCTTTACTGAAAACGCTTTGCCAACCTTTACTCTAATAGAAAGACTGGCATGTGGATGATTCTAATAATGTGTAAAATACAATGACAGAGAGATGGTCCACAATCGACTCAGAACCAGCCAGGGAGGCAGGGAAACTACTCTTCCAAACACTCTCCAACAGACTTAAAGACTCGGCAGGAGTCTGATGCTTTAAGGGGATTTGCGGGAAGGAAAGAACGGTCTAGACACAAGGGAAAGACTATAGAAAGAAAGGCAGAGGAGGCAGAAATTTCACGATACGCTCAAGTAGCTAGAAGAATTCAGGACAGCAGAGAGGTTAAGGGTCTGCGCTTTGCAGTTAGAGACAAGGGTTACATTTCCGCTTTACCAGTTACGTGGCTAAGTAACACTGTCTGCAAGCCAGGTTCCTCATCGGCAGAAGGAGTGGAGAAATATATAGCATGCAAGGTTAATGTGAGGATTAATAAGATGTGGACATATAGCATAATGCTTGGCATATACAAGGTGCTCATGACTATTTTTTTTAATATTTATTTTTGAGTGAAGGGGAGGGGAAGAGAGAGAGGGAGACACAGAATCCGAAGCAGGCTCCAGGCTCCGAAGCTGTCAGCACAGAGCCCAGTGGGGGACTCGAACCCACAGACCATGAGATCATGACCTGAACTGAAGTTGGATGCTTAAGTGAGCCACCCAGGCATCCCAACTCTCCAGTAAGTGTGCAATCCTGCCTTTGTCCTGAGTTCTGATTTTGTAACGTCACTTGATGGCTGGTCTTTTTCCTTTGGAAATTTTACCATAATCGCAAATGCAATGTTTTCCAAACTGAACTCAACATGTTTTCATGCATTTCAAGTACTTCTCCAGATTTTCTTTTTTTTTTTGGGGTCAAATATATAACTTTTTCTCATATGACTCGTATCAAAATCTTTACAATCAGCTTTGATTTCTTCGATTCATTGACTAACCATATTCACCACCAAGTCCTGGTACTTTATTTAGACTCATAATGTCTCTCAAGTCTACACTCCCCATTTTGCTGTACTATTACCGCTTATACAGAATCATAATAAAACTATTTGCTCAAAAGTATCTAATGATTTAATGTTCTCTTCACTGCTCATTCTCCAGTGGCCTTGGAAAGTCCAAACTCTTTTTTTATTTTTAAGTTTATTTGTTTATTTTGAGAGAGACAGAGAAAGGTCAAGTGGGGGCAGAGACCGATGTGGGGCTCGAACCCATGAGATCATGACCGGAGCCGAAACCAAGAGTCAGACGCTCAACTGACTGAGCTGCCCAGGCGCCCCTGAAAGTCCAAATTCTTTGTATGTTGCATGGTTTGAAGGCCATCCCTCATCTCACCCCACCACTATTTGCAATCTTATCACTTACTTTACTTCTGTCCCTCTGCCATGCTAGTCACTGTCTTGTGAACACAGCCAAGTGCCCCAGGGAGTCACAGCCTCGGGCAGCTTTTAACTCCGAGGCCCAGAGGAAACAGCAGGCGTCTGGAGCCTCAGCTTCATTGGTAGCAAACGAGAGGAATCCCTCCACCTCACCAAGTTGCTGTGAGGATTTAAGACCATGCACAATGTCACACTGCGGCCACCATGTGGGGAGATTCTGCTCATTCCTCACCTACGTCTGCACCTGCTGATTGGCCTTGTGGTTCCTGAATTTTCAGCTAACAAATCTGACCTTCCTTCAAGACTAAGTTCGGGGTGCCTGGGTGGCTCAGGTCACGATCTCACGGTTTGTGGGTTTGAGTCCCGCGTCAGGCTGTGTTGATAGCTCAGAGCCTGGAGCCTGTTTCAGATCCTGTGTCTCCCCCTTTCTCTGACCATCCCCTGTTCATGCTGCCTCTCTCTCTCTCTCAGAAAAAAAAAAAAAAAAAAAAAGACTAAGTTCAAGTTCAACCACCCACACGGAAGCCCAAGCCTCTTACTTGATATGATCTCTTTCTCCTTTTACCCCCCATGACATTTCTCTCAACCACTGGGAGATGCGGTTGCACCTTGTGTGAAATCAAAGCAGTACATGTGAAATACACACTTGTCAAGAATTTACACAATCAGGGGTGCCTGGCTCAGTGGGTTAAGCTTCCCACTCGTGATTTCTGCTCAGGTCATGATCTCATGGCTCATGGGATGGAGCCCTGCATGGGGCTCCGTGCTGACAGTGCAGAGCCTGCTTGGGATTCTCTCTCTCCCTCTTTTTCTGACCCTCCTGTGTGTGTGCTCTCTCCCTCTCTCTCAAAATAAATAAACATTAAAAAAAAAAAAAAAAAGAATTACACAATTTAAAAAGCAACAGATCGGGGCACCGGGGTGGCTCAGTTGGTTAAGCAGCCGACTTCGGCCCAGGTGATGATCTTGCAGTTCATGAGTTTAAGCCCTGCGTCATACTCTGTGCTGACAGCTCAGAGCCTGGAGCCTGTTTCAGATTCTTCTCCCTGTGGCCCTCCCCTGCTCATGCTCTGTCTGCCTTTCAAAAATAAATAAATGCTAAAAAAATTATTAAAAAAAAAAAAAAAGCAACAGATCAGGTGAATAAGTTGGTTTATGATTTCATACCATTTTAGTGTCACTCTAGGTGGCAACAAAATACAGATTTTCCATTTTTTGGTGCAATCTTTTTGCTTTTTAACTTTATCAAAATATAACTGATGTATAATTCCTGCATATAAAGTATATAATTTGTTAAGTTTTGACTTATGTCTATATCCATGAGGACATCACCACAATCAGGATACAGTACATATCCATCATTCTCAAGTTTTGTCATGCCTTGCTGTAATCCCCTCCCCCACCCAAAGCTCTTCCTCAGGCAGCCAGTGAACCACTTTGAGTCCCCATTGATAGATTTACATTTTCTAGATTTTAATGTAAATGGAATTTTATAATATGCACTTTCCATCTGGAATGTTTTTTCATGAGGCAAAATTATTTTGAGATTCATCATATGGCTCAGTGTATCAATAGCTCATTCTTTTTTCATTGCTGAGCAATATTCCATTATACATATTGGTTAATACCACTATTATAGATCTATTCACTTGTTGATGGGTATTTGGGTTGTTTCCAGTTTGGGGTTATTACAAAAAAGCAGCTATGGACATTTGTGTTCAAGTCTTTGTGTGGGCATATGCTTTTATTTCTCTCAAGAGCGTGCATCTTTAATGCACTTATTTAATGCACATGTTACATATGCACATATTTAAACTACGTAAGAAACTGTTGAACTGTTTCACTAAGTGGACTGCCAGCTTACATTCCTCCTAGTGGTGTGTAAGAGTTCCACTTCCAGACCCTTCAAGAATTCCGTTTTGGGTCATCTCATTTGCCAAGGACAAGGGGCATAGGCATGGCTAGCACACAAAGGTAGTTATAAATACCAGCTTTGGTCCTGTAACCAGGTGTGGGTACAAGGAATGTAATATTTCTGAGTACTTTCCGCTTCTTTGGATATAAACATATTTGCATATATAAACCGAAGTTTTTATTCCTCTCTCCCCTTCTCCTAGTGACGAAGGTATGCTGACAGTATTTAATCTCATGTCTCAGAACTGAAGCAGGACAAACGTCAAGAGGCGGCTGTGACCCAGCCTGAAGAGGGATGAACATCACCCAAAGACCCAAGAAGGGACTAGTGAATTTTAGGCTCGTGAATTTGGGGTTGTAATAGGGATACTGGCATCAGGTTGGCTACGGTCTTCTCTGGGAGCTAGGTTTGACCCAACAGTGTGTCCCGGGGCTCAGCTGACAATGCCTTGTGTTTGCGTGTTGCTAGTCCAGTTAACCCGGAGCCACACTGCCCCACGCTCCCTTCCTGTACAGCTGTACGGTCGGGACAGCCGCAGAGCTCGTAACCCATCTGGAAGGTGGAAGTGAGATGGCGGCCATGCTCATGCTTGGAAAACTGCTCTAAGCTCAGGCACTACTGAGGCTCACACCCAACTGGTGGGGAATCTGTCTGCTGCCTCCGCCGCCAGAGGGGCACCGGGCCTGCAGCTTCACCAGCTCCTGCCGGATCTCTGGGCTGCAGCCAATCCCCGAGCTCACCCACGTCCCAGAATCCTGGGTCAAGTCTGTGCGCTGTTTCACGGCGAAGTGCGTGTGC